GAAAGTCTCCCACGTCCCAACCCCTCTACATGTAACTACGCGCTCCTCAACACAGGAAGACACCTCCACCCGCATTCTTTAAACCCACTATTGTAATGAAGAAATCCACGTGTGGGACTTTATGGGATCGACATGTCATTCCTCTGTTGAAAATCCTGGAACCGCATGCTTTAACAACAACTGGACTGGTCAGGGCTTTTGCCTCCAAGGAACGTCCTTGTGCCAGCGCCATGCATGGCTCCACCCCCTTCAATTGCGTTGTCCCAGCCGCCACCCCCGGTGACCCCATAAAATATCCATGTGCAGGGAGCATCCGCTGTGCTGACCTGGTATCCTTGGCGAAATGTCAGTCACAAAACGAACTGAGTTCAGCCATTCCGGCAGATGGCTGCACTGGCGCAGGAGATGTCTCTGGTTGACAAAGCCACACCCCCCCCCAGCACGGACAGACGGTGTCTGAAAGATGTCCAAGGTAAACTTGTGCCATGCGCCTGATCTCACACGTTCGTTGCAACAAGGTGTAGCAGGAATTCCTAAAAATCCACATCCCCACTGCAAGACATCCTGGTGTAAACTTTGCATGCATTTCAGCCATTCCTACCCCGCCAAAGCACACCCTCCTTTGAGCTGCAGCGGCAGAAAAGGCATCGCCTGATCTGCGACGTTGCAACAATGGAATTCAACCCTACATATGTTAGACCGCCTTTTCAACAGCGAAAGGCCATCACCGATTTCCTGATGTTACAAGCGGATAAAGGTACTCCCCTGTGTAACTTAGATGTCAGCCATTGGCAGCTCATGCGTGACACCTGCCGCTTGCTCAGGCCCTTTGAGGAGGCCACGCTATTCGTGAGTTGGCCAGGACTATGGGTCAATGATGAACGACGTCATTCCCTCTGTTGCACGTCCTGGAACAAATGCTGTTAACAATGGCTGGTCAGGGTGCGGTAGACGTGGCGCACAGATCTCAACGCCACATGACCCCTGTGGGGGCAGGACAGGAAGAAGAGGAGGAGGTAGAGGAGGACATTGGTGCTCAGGAATTATTGAGTGAAATGGGTGGTTTTTCCACTCAGCGGACAGGAGTGGAGGAGCAGGAGCATCTGGTAGAGGAGGAGGAGGAGAACAGAGGACCCAGACGCACCGTGGCAGTATGCTGTGGAGATGGAGGCAGGGAGTCCCTCGCATTTCCTTGGCACAAATGGCCATAGCATGCTCGGTTGCTTGCGTAGCAGACAGCCGAATAATAACCATCAGACAGAGGGATGACTTTTGGCTGTCCACCTTGTTGGACCCTCGCTACCGTTCAAAAATGGTGGCCTTTTTCACACCTGCTGAGAGGGAGGCCAAAATAAAGTACTATAAAAACCACCTATGTAGTCAGTTGGTCTCTGCCTTTCTGCGCCAACGTCCATCCTCAGACACTGTGGGCCCTGTGCGCTCGCGGGAATTGCTTTGTATATCTGTCGCCTTTGTCTGGCGACATAAATTTTTTGTCATGTGTAGACATCTATTTATAGGCCGATGTTTGGCCACTTATTTAGTAATAACCTAGCCGTTCAGGCCCGCTGTCTTTGTATATCTGTCAGGCTCGCTGTCTGAACAGCTCATGAATTGCTTTCTATATGTGTCGCCTTTGAGGCCGCTGGCTGGACAGCTGATGAATTGATTTGTATATATGTACTTATTGTCCGCTGTCCGGACAGCTCATGAATTACTTTTTGTATATAGCCTTCCAAACCACTCTCAGAATAAGTCATGATATTCATGCTGTGTATAGCCTTATAGGCCAATGGTCAATCAAGTCATGATTGTTATAGTGTGTATAGCCTTATAGGCCGCTGTCTTTACAACTTTATAATTCCATGCAGTATATAGCCCTATCGGCCACTTTCTGGCATCCAGTTGCTGTAGCCCCCATCACCACACTGTGCCACGGGCCCCTGTACCGCCTTCTCATACTGCTGCCAGATCCATCCTCTGCCATGTGCGTCTTTGTCGTCTGCTCACGCTGCTGGGTTCCAGTTTTAAACCTAGGCCTGTGTATGGCTTCCGAATACTGCTGCCTCCACCGCCACCCTGCGCCATGTGCCTCTGTCGTCTGCTCACGCTGCTGACGGCTTCCTTTTTTAACCTAGGCCTGTGTATGGCTTCCGAATACTGCTGCCTCCACCGCCACCCTGCGCCATGTGCCTCTGTCGTCTGCTCACGCTGCTGACGGCTTCCGCTTTTTTAAACTAGTCCTGTGTATGTCTTCCGAATACTGCTGCCTCCACCGCCCACCCTGCGCCATGTGCCACTTTCGGGTCTCCTCACACTGCTGCCAGGTCCATACTGATTCATGGCCCCCTGTACCGGCTCCTCATGAACGTGGTTTCAGCGGGTTTGCATCACTTAACGGCAAATCGTTGACAAATGCTGGGACGTTCAGTGTTGTGCGCATTAAGCCAGACACCAAAGGGCAGCACAGACCTGTTATTACTCGCTCAAGCATGGCTGAACAAAACCAGTCTCTACCACAAATTGGACCCAGACCTGCCCAGGGTCTCGTAACTAGATTGCACGGAGGAGTAGAGTCCGTTATCGGAATTAAATAGACAAAACGCCACACCAAAAAGAGTGGCCATTTCCAACACTTATTCCAGAAAGAGGAACAACCCGTTTCATATACGGCCCCGTAGACGTTTCACGTCTGCCACATTCAGTCGATTTAAGACGCAAGCTCCACTTCCTGTGGTCTCTGACCGTCGATATACCTTTAAGTGTCAGCTTTGAAGCTATATTCCCTCCGGAGCACTGACACTGGTGCCCTTCCGTCAACATGCCTTTAAGTTTCAGTTTTCAACCATATTCCCCACAGAAGCCAAACTCTTGGGTATCCCAGAAGCTGCTCAGCGGGTCAGGGCAATAAAGCTCCCGGTTCGCAGGTTGTTCCGTCTTATGGATGGAAGTACGACGGTATATGATCTTCTTCGCACCCACGGCATTACCTCATAAAATTTCTGCATTGCATCTGCAATCACAACGCTGACTTCCCGGATCGCCACTCAGCCATTGGACTCTTGATAGTCGTCTCCCCACACTGCTGCTGGGGGGACTTTTTAACCTAGGCCTGTGTATGGCCTTCAATTGAAGCTGCTTCCGCTCCGCCACTCTGCCATTGGACTCTTGATAGTCGTCTCCCCACGCTGCTGCTGGGGGGACTTTTTAACATAGGCCTCTGTATGGCCTTTAATTGAAGCTGCTTACGCTCCGCCACTCTGCCATGGGCCTCTTGGGTATCCCAGAAGCTGCTCAGCGGGTCAGGGCAATAAAGCTCCCGGTTCGCAGGTTGTTCCGTCTTATGGATGGAAGTACGACGGTATATGATCTTCTTCGCACCCACGGCATCACCTCATAGAATCTCTGCATTGCATCTGCAATCACAACGCTGACTTCCCGGATCGCCACTCAGCCATTGGACTCTTGATAGTCGTCTCCCCACACTGCTGCTGGGGGGACTTTTTAACCTAGGCCTGTGTATGGCCTTCAATTGAAGCTGCTTCCGCTCCGCCACTCTGCCATTGGACTCTTGATAGTCGTCTCCCCACGCTGCTGCTGGGGGGACTTTTTAACATAGGCCTCTGTATGGCCTTTAATTGAAGCTGCTTACGCTCCGCCACTCTGCCATGGGCCTCTTGGGTATCCCAGAAGCTGCTCAGCGGGTCAGGGCAATAAAGCTCCCGGTTCGCAGGTTGTTCCGTCTTATGGATGGAAGTACGACGGTATATGATCTTCTTCGCACCCACGGCATCACCTCATAGAATCTCTGCATTGCATCTGCAATCACAACGCTGACTTCCCGGATCGCCACTCAGCCATTGGACTCTTGATAGTCGTCTCCCCACACTGCTGCTGGGGGGACTTTTTAACCTAGGCCTGTGTATGGCCTTCAATTGAAGCTGCTTCTGCTCTGCCACTCTGCCATTGGACTCTTGATACTCGTCTCCCCACACTGCTGCTGGGGGGACTTTTTAACATAGGCCTCTGTATGGCCTTCAATTTAAGCTGCTTACGCTTCGCCACTCTGCCATGGGCCCCTGTACCGCCTCCTCTTGCTGCTGCCAGGTCCAGAGTGTGTCATGGGTCCCTGTACGGCCTCCCATTGCTGCTGACTTCATCGCCAGACTCTGCCATGTGCCACTTTCAGGTCTCCTTACACTGTTGGTGGGTTCCATTTTGTGATAGGGTGCTGTATGGCCTTCCATTGCTGCTGCCTCCACCGCCACCCTGCGCCATGTGCCTCTGTCGTCTGCTCACGCTGCTGACGGCTTCCGCTTTTTAACCGAGGCCTGTGTTTGGCTTCCGAATACTGCTGCATCCACCGCCACCCCTGCGCCATGTGTCTCTGTCGTCTGCTCACGCTGCTGACGGCTTCCGCTTTTTAACCTAGGCCTGTGTATGGCTTCAGAATAATGCTGCCTACACCGCCACCCTGCGCCATGTGCCTCTGTCGTCTGCTCACGCTGCTGCCAGGTCCATACTGATTCATGGCCCCCTGTACCGGCTCCTCATGAACGTGGTTCAGCGGGTTTGCATCACTTAACGGCAAATCGTTGACAAACGCTGGGACGTTCAGTGTTGTGCGCATTAAGCCAGACACCGAAGGGCAGCACAGACCTGTTATTACTCGCTCAAGCATGGCTGAACAAAACCAGTCTCTACCACAAATTGGACCCAGACCTGCCCAGGGTCTCGTAAGTAGATTGCACGGAGGAGTAGAGTTCGTTATTGGAATTAACTGTGAGGGACTTTTAAACCTAGGCCTGTGTATGGCCTTCAATTGAAGCTGCTTCTGCTCCGCCACTCTGCTGCCATTGGACTCTTGATAGTCGTCTCCCCACGCTGCTGCTGGGGGGACTTTTTAACATAGGCCTCTGTATGGCCTTCAATTTTAGCTGCTTACGCTCCGCCACTCTGCCATGGGCCCCTGTACCGCCTCCTCCTCATGCTGCTGCCAGGCCCGTAATCTGCCATGGGCCCCCGTACCGACTCCTCATGCTGCTGCCAGGCCCGTAATCTGTCATGGGCCCCTGTACAGCCTCCTCATGCTGCTGCCCAGGTCCAGAGTGTGTCATGGGTCCCTGTACGGCCTCCCATTGCTGCTGTTTCCATCGCCACACTCTGCCATGTGCCACTCTCAGGTCTCTTCACACTGCTGGTGGGTTCCATTTTGTCATAGGGTGCTGTATGGCCTCCCATTGCTGCTGCCTCCACCGCCGCACTGTGGCTCCACACTCTGGTTTTGGCCCCGTGACTGCCCAAATGAGTGAAGTGTGCGGTGATTCTAAGATCGACGGCACTCATCTGCATGTCATACTGACTGACAGTATTATTTCTCTTCCCCAGCAGACTCCATGGGCATTTAAATTAAAGGTACAGTGTTCTGCACTAATATAAAGGCTCTCTGAAGCCTAGAAACACCCTTTTTATAAGTTAAATTCGCAGCGAATATATTCGGCTCGAAGCGAATTTAGGCGGCGAATTCAGCGAATCAGCCGAACCAAATTTTTGAATAATTCGCTCATCTCTACTGATGGGATGCAGAATTTACTGCTACACCTTTCAGCAGCTGCTTTTTCTCTTGTCCCAGCATGGCTTAGCGTTCTTTTTGTAGCTGGGATTTCCATTCCTCTCCACCAGACTGGTTCCCTCCAGCTCACTGCTATAAACATCCCATTCCTTTATCCTGTGCAACTTTGTTTTTTGTACCCCCCTACACTGTCATCACCCATTGGAATCAGTTTCCTCTGCAAATCCATCTATCACTGCTCAACTCCTTCTATTTAACCATTTACTAACTGATCTGGATAATGTGTCCCATTTTCTATCACCTATAACTTAGATCTAGCATTATAATATTCCTAACTGAATCTCACTGCTAGTCTCATTGTTACCCCTGCAGCACAACTCCAGGTCAGTCCTGTTCCCTTACCTACAATAACCTTTAATCATTTCAATATATATTTTTTTTTCATTACATTTTTTCATATCTATAGAAAGCATGGATGTGATTTGAGATAATTAATCGGTGAGAGAGGCAATCAATAAAACTGATCCCACTGCAGGGGGCAGCACAGCTGCCTTCTCTTTCCTTTGCCACCTTTCAGCTGCTCTTGGGGGAGCACAGGGGGGGGATCAGTTCCAGTAACTGCCTCCCCCACTGCACTCACCCTCCTTGTCTAGGATCCAACCACCCCCCCCGCCTTCCAACAGCTGCCAGCCTCTCCTCCTCTCCCTCCCACTGGCTGTCATTGGCTGTAGGCACACAGGGCGATCATTTCAGGATGGAGAGTCGGGAGCTGGCAAATATGTCAAATACGAGCTCCTTCCTTTCCTGAATCAATCACTGTGTTCGTTCATACAAAAAAAACGTATTCAGCTTCCTAGTACCGCATCCTAGAAGTGTAAGGAAAAAATTGCAGGACAAAGAACATGTACAGCCAAACTAGTGGATTTTCTTTAGGCACAGTAAGAGACCACACTATCTTATAAAAACATCACAGTTTATTAACATAAAATGATCCCAAAAAGGATTTGTTTTTAGAAGAACTACAAAACCCCTTAACACAACCGGGGGGGGAAATAGTACATAGTATATCCCTTTGCACATAAAGCATTACATGTCACCTATTACATGGATTGTGATTCCAAAAGAGTATAGCTAGAGAATAAGAAATGGTAAATGTGTTTCGCCTACATATATGGCTTCTTCAGAACCGTGATTTCTGCCAAAGGAACAGCAGCACTACTATAAGTGGGATACAAAGAAAACAAACAGTATATACACAATCAATTATATATGGTAAAATAATACATACATACAGTGCATCCAGAAAGTATTCACAATGTTTAACTTTTGTCATTTTTTCCCCTCAACATTCAACAAACAATACCCCATAATGACAACATAAAAGAGGTTTGTTTTGAAATCTTTGCAATTTATTAAAAAAACTAAACACATGTACATAAGTATTTACAGCCTTTGCTCAATACTTTGTTGAAGCACCTTTAGCACCAATTACAGCCTCAAGTCATTTTGAGTATGGTTACAAGCTTGGCACACCTATTTTTGGGCTATTTCTTTCATTCTTCTTTGCAGTACCTCTCAAGCTCCATCAGGTTGGCTGGGGAGTGTCGGTGCACACCCGTTTTTCAAGTCTGGGCTCTGGCTGGGCCACTCCAAGACATTCACAGAGTTGGCCTGTAGCCACTCCTTTGTTATGTGGGATTGTCCTGTTGAAAGATGAACTGTCGCCCAGTCTAAGGTCCAAAGCGCTCTGGAACAGGTTTTCATCAAGGATGTTTGCGTACATTGCTGCATTCATCTTTCCTTCAATCCTGACTAGTCTCCCAGTTCCTGCCACTGAAAAACATCACCACAGCATGATGCTGCCACCACCGCGCTTCACTGTAGGGATGTATTGGCCAGGTAGTGAGCAGTGCCTGGTTTCCTCCAGAAATAACACTTGGCATTCAGGCCAAAGAGTTCAATCTTTGTTTCATCAGACCAGAGAGTTTTGTTTCTCATGGTCTGAGAGTCCCTCAGGTGCCTTTTGGCAAACTCCAGGTGGGCTGCCATTTGCCTTTTACTAAGGAGTGGCTTCTGTCTGGCCACTCTACCATACAGCCCTGATTGGTGGAGTGCTGCAGAGATGGTTGTTCTTCTGAAAGGTTCTCCTCTCTCCACAGTGAAATGCTGGAGCTCTTTCAGAGTGACCATCAGGTGCTTGGTTACCTCCCTGGCTAAAGCCCTTCTCCCTCCATCGCTCATTTTGGCCAGGTGGCCTGCTCTAGGAAGATTCCTGGTGGTTCCAAACTTCTTCCATTTACAGATGATGGAGGCCACTGTGCTCATTGGGACCTTCAATGCTGCAGAAATTTTTCTGTACCCTTCCCAGGATCTGTGCCTTGATACAATCCTGTCTCAGAGGTCTATGGAAAATTCCTTGGACTTCAAAGCTTGGTTTGTGCTCTGACATGCACTGTTAACTGTGGGACCTTATATAGACAGGATTATTGTCTTGAACTATTGTCTTCCCCGTACTCATGGAGTCTATGGGAAGCTATTCAAGCAGATAACCTTCTCTGCGCACACAATAATAGATGGTTTTAACTTGTCTGTACTTTATTGGCACATTGTAGATAAATGGTAAAACTATAACAAGAAGATACCATACAATCACTATACGATAAATATCACAGATAAAATGACACTCAATATAGCTAAGATGCTCTTCTATACAATCCTAGCTACCTGTAACAGAGAAAAAGGACATTAATTACCTCCGATGCCATCAGATGGAAAGAGATAAATCTGGTTGCTTCTCTCATGTAGAGAATCATGGATTCCTATGAGGTGTTTTACTTCCTGTATTGCGGGAGAAACTATGACAGAGCTGTGTTATTTAGCTAGCCAGGATTTTACATCACATCCTGGCTAGCTAAATAACACAGCTCTGAAGTTTAGCCAGTAGGTGGCATAAGAGAACAGATAACTAATCTGTAAATAAACATGTCTACAATCAAATGCAAAACAACATAATTATAGAGGTCAATTTTGATCTAGAAGTCCTCAGAAGAGAATGTATTCTGGGGACAGGACACTCCCTGTCTGGCGTTATCCAACGCCACTGACATCGTCGTTGGGCACCAGTAATATCAGGTCTGATATTGGTCTGAGGAACAGTCTAACTTCACCTTGTTTGGAAGTCTTAACTTCGACCTTCCTAACATATCCATCTTTGATTAGAAACGTCTGGGTAATAAGTCCCAAGGGCCAGTGATTCCTGCATGTTTGGCAGTCTTTAACAAGTACATCGCCTTGTTTCAAGTCAGGTTTGGCAACTTGCCACTTTTTTCTGGGTTGTAGGATTTGAAGGTACTGTTTCTTCAACCTCTCCCAGAAGGTGTCAGCTAGGCATTGCACCCATCTCCATTGGCGTTTGAAGAGATCTTTTGTAGTAAACTCTCCATGTGGGGCACTGACTTTATAGGTTTTTTTTTGCTGTTAATACAGTCAATTTCCTTAACAAAGGTCTCTTGTTGCACAATACGGATGATCAGATGTTTTGATTGCTCTAGATTGGCCACTGTGTAAGCACTTTTACAGTGGTGCCAGCCTTTGCAGTCAGCTTCTTTTTCAAAGGAATGAGCTATATGTGATAAGCAAGTGATGGCTCTAATAAGTGATCTCCATGTAGAAAACCTGCTAAACCGACTTCTGGAGTGAAGTCACTGTGGCTAATGTAGACACTTGTGGATGGACCTCTGCATCCTCGCTTGCATCTATCAAGCAGAAGGCATCAGAATCAGAAGTGCTGCGTTCTGAGTTGTACAGAAATGGAAGGGCCTGTGAACCACATTGTATCCTTTAGACGGTTGGCTCTACGGCTAACACTGCATCACAAAGTTCTAGCCTAAGTATTGTGTGTTCTGGGAGTGGGGCAAGTTTCGCTTTTCCCATAACAAAACCTATATGGTAATGTACTGTGATTTCCTTAGTCTTAAGGTAGCTACTGCAGCAATTGCCTTGATGGAAGCATCACAAAAAACACAGTCTTTGGCTTTGGATCTCTATGCTCGGCACAGGAGCATATGAGCGAGGAACCTGGAGGTTAGACAAGGCTGTTAAGGAATTTCTCCACTCTGACCACTGATCTCTTTTTTCAGGGGGGAAGTGGGTCATCCCAGTTCAGGGTCTCTTGAGTCAAGTCTCTTAGAAGTGCCTTACCTTCAATGGTAACTGGAGCTGCAAACTCCAGAGGATCATACAAACTGCTTATGGCTGACAGAACACCTCTGCGAGTAAAGGTTTTTTTTTTTTTTCTTGACTAACATGGAAGGTGAAGAAGTCTGATTTTAAGTCCCAGAGCAGTCCAAGGCTATGTTGTATTGGGAGAGAGAATCAGAACTTAAGCCTAAGTCTTGGAGCTCACTGGAGCGATCTTGAGAGGGGAAGGCCTCCATCAATTT